CCCCAAAACCCCAAAACCCCAAAACCCCGGCATTTTAGAATTAGAATTTAGAGAATATTGTTAAATATTTTAACTTTTCAATGGTATCAATACTGAATCTCAATAATCTCTATTCCACTTTCCCAATCGAATGTAATAAGAATAATTCAATTTATTCATTAGTTAGAGATTTACTTCTGTGGGTTAAACCAGCTAAAACTGCAAGATTAATAGGAATAGTGAATGTATTCTTTATGTTGATGATGCTTTACAAATACTCTTTGATGTCTTTAATTCTTTTATTCTCATTGTTCATTTCCATTGCTGGCATGGCTCTCAACTAAATCTATCTCTCGTCGATTGAGGAAAAGTACCTATTTTTTGTTATTATCATATTATAGTGAAAATGAAGTTATCCATCCATAGGATTTCAAAAGCACTAATGATGAAAAGCAATATTACTTAGAACAGGAGGATTAACAGGAATATGTGTCAGCTGAGACAGTTCAGGATATGATAGTCAAATTATACAGTTTGCAGTTGAGAGTGCATACGATGGTTGAGGATGTTTTTTCTTTGAATAATATGAAACTAACAATTAAAGTACTGATTAGCATGATAGCAATGTTTTTAATAACATATGTATTAAGTGACGTTGCTTTCATTTGGATTGCAGTAAACATAATGTTATTCTGGCCATTTATTCACAAGAAAAAAGAAGCTTAAATTGATTCAATAGTGCAGAGAATTAATGATAAAATTGACAATAAAGTTTAGTCTTCTGGATTTTTAATGAGAAGGTAACAAAGAGCACCTAGTTCTGTGACTGAGTTAAAGAAAAATCAATGAATAATAATTTGGTTGGTCAAAATATGAAATACATTGCAGCTTAGTGAATTATCTTAATTGTAAATATAAAACAGTTCATGCATAAAACTATCAAATATTCATTTATAATGTCTAAAGCATAATCTTTAGATTAATGATTAAACTAATTGTATATAAAGATTAGACAAAAATATGAAGCCTATAACTTATGAATGATAAGTATACTTATAAAACTTAATTATATCATCATCATTAGGGTTCTCTATGTATTCAATTGTCTATATCGTCTCAAAATGGTCTGATTTGTGGTTGCATATCTGCTCCGCCTATGCCTCCCATCATTGACTCGCTCATCATCTACATTTGAATTTTTGCTAAAATCCTAGATTGCTCGCTGAAAATTTCGAATCCCATTGGCAATATAAACATGAAAGCCACTAAATAGTTGTTGATAATTTTAAATAGATATATACTGCATGAAGTAAACCAAAGAAGTTTCTTGCCAAAAGAACCAACGATGTAGAAAAGGGCATAGCCTTTGTTGATAATTTAGTAAATTCTATTGTTTTTATCGTTTGCGATCAGCTTTGGAATCACGACTTCAGCCTTCTTCTTTGGTCTATAAGCAAATGTCAGACGGCAATATTTATTTACGCTCCCATTGCACCTGGCATACCCATTCCTTGCATATTTGTTTATCAATCTATGGAAATTAAAAATATTATAGTATTTATATTGTTTAATCATTAAAAATTATTTATTGCTCAATTAATAATAAAAACATACAATGGAATCCGAAGATAGAGACTATCTCAACCTCAAATATGAGTAATCAATAATCTAGTTCTTTAAAAAAGATGGTAATCAACAAAAAATAGTTTAATAAATTCTATAGAAAGAGTTTACTTTTCAGGGGAGGTTTACAAGGACACGTTTCTCTTCTTTAAGAAAGCCAAAATTGTATTAGTAACTAATGAACAAATCTATGTTGTTGATAGAAGGAAAAAAGTGGTCAAAAAGAGAAATAAGATCGATGAACTTCTGGGAATCACTAAAAGTTTATATACAGATAGCAAAAATTTTATTTTACATTTCTCTAGTAGAGCAGACGAAGAGCTGTTCTGTGATTAGTAAGAAAAATATAATAATTGATCAATTTAGTCGAAATGAATTGGTCGGAATTCTAAAGAGAAGATATTTTGAAATCACATAAGGTAATCTAAAAATATTCGGAGTCAGCACTAGATCTCTCAAAGATTTCCTTACTTCTGAAAGAGACCAACTTAGAAGAATATCTAAGATACCTTCAAATGATTATAGACTTTGGGAAGAGGATATTGTCAAGGAGCAAAGAAGAAGTGCTGGGGGAAGTATAGTTTAATAAAATGATGAGGATGATCTCGACTATTATGATGACTTCGTGATTATTGAGAGATTAGACATTAAAAAGTATAATGAACCAAAGAAGCTAGAAGAAGAGGAAAAGATTAAGGATAGTGGTGAAAGTCAACTCTTGATATAAAAGCCTGGTTCAGAGAATTAATCTTTAAAATTAGAGGATTTCAAAATCAAAAAAGTTATTGATAAAGGGTCTTTTGGAAAGGTTTTTTTAGTAGTGAATAAGAAAAATAAGAAACTGTATGCCATGAAAAGAATTAATAAGGATATACTGATTGATAAAAACTAAATATAAAACACAAAAAATGAGAAAGACATTCTATTCTAGGCTAATCATCCATTCGTACTAAGCATGGACTACATCTTCTAAAATTAGTACAGACTTTACTTTTTCCTCAAGTATGTCAGAGGAGGGAATCTTTATGATCACTTGTTTGCCAATAAAAGATTCCCAGAAGCTACTGTAAAGTTTTATGCTGCATAAATTGCAGTGGCATTAGGCTACTTGCATGCTAATAAAATAGTCCACAGAGATTTAAAGCCTGAGAATGTATTAGTAGATGAAGATGGATACTTATACTTGGCTGACTTTGGCTTGTCTAAGTTTTTGCAAGGCCCATAAGATTAAACTCATTCCTTCTGTGGAACTGCTGAGTATCTAGCCCCAGAAATCTTAGATATGAAGGGTCATGGGTTTACTGTAGATTGGTGGACTTTTGGCATTTTAGTCTATGAAATGTCAACTGGCAGACCTCCATTCATGCATAAAAATCATCATTAGCTAGGAATGCTAATAAGAAACAGCCCAATCGTCTACCCAGATCCAATTAAACATAAGATTCATATGAGTGACTTACTAAAAGATTTAATCAATAAGGTAATTCTTTATTTAATTCTTAAATATCATTTTAGTTACTCGATAGAGATCCACATAAGAGACTAGGCTCTAAAGATGATATTAACGATATAATCAATCATCCATTCTTCAAAGATGTTGACTTTGAAAAATTATAGAAAAAGGAGATAATTCCTCTATATAAGCCTCCTTAAAATTTGTTTACAATTAAAGATGAAGAACTTCAAGTTTTATTCGAGGATCCAGAATTAAAGGATATAACCGAGGAAGATAATAATGATGAAATCCCTGTGGATAAGAGGTTACTTATTGACTAGAATAAAAACAAATTTGAAGGCTTTGACTCCTGATTATATCTAATATTTGTTATATTTTTAACACATTCTAATTCCTAAATGCCATTTTTCTTAAGGGGTTTTGGGGTTTTGGGGTTTTGGGGTTTTGGGG